TCAGCCTGTTCCTCTGCCTCCCTCTCACTGTAAGAGTGTGCTTCAACCTCCAAAGGCCAAGAGTAAGTAAAAAATAGAAAAGCATGGGCTAATAATACATAAGGAAGGAAAACAAAAACATGCAATACGCATCACGAATATAGACACAAATATGTGAGCATTAAAAGGAAAGGAAGAGATGCAACACCTATCAGGCAAAAAGCTGGTCTCAACTGTAGGATCTTTCCCAAGTTTCCCAAACTTTCGGCGGCGAAGCCTTTCTGATTCCTCATCATCTTCATAGACAAAAAAACAAAAATTAATGTATAAATAGGGAATGCAACATATGAATCTTTATTTCACTCTCTTCCACAGGAGGTTGTGCTTCATTGAGAAAAAATCAAAGAAAAGCTAAGATCTCTAGGACATGGTATGCAGAATATAGTAGGCAGATTCAGAGTTCACAGAAAAGCTTTTCTGCATGGTTTTAAGACAACTATAACGGCAAAGTAATGCAGAAACAAAACTCTTATAACTTTTAATAATATTGGAACATTAGAAAGGTTTTTCCATTTTAAAAGGAAGGCCCATCAATGCTTGCAGAAGAACACATACATTAACATATTTACTAGAAGGCTTTATCAAGCAAGAAATGCAAACAACAGAAAATACAAACTAAGTCACGCTTACTATTTTCCTCATCTTCCTCGTTCTCCACTTCAAAATCATCAGCAAACGATAATCGAGGATCTGCCTTTATTTTCCGCTTTTTCAATTTCTGCAGCTGAAGTTCTTCCTCCCTGAAACAAGAAGAGATAAAAACAAAATATCACACAGAAGACACCAATAAACATTAGTAACTACAAATACCACAACAACAAGAAGAAACAAAATAAAATATCACACAAAAGAAACCAATAAAAATTTGTAACTATAAATACCAATGCAACATGAAAAAGAAGAAACAATTACTCACTCTTTTTGCAGCTTAAGAAGTTTCTCCTTCTCTTCCTCTTCGATTTTGTTTTTAATATTCACCCTCTGCAAAACGAACCCAATATTAACTTTTGGGCGCAGAAATTGGTTGAGGTTTGATGATTGCCAAAATAAGAAGAAAGAAGTACCTTCTCCACGTATTCTTCTCTTGTGACAAGACCAACTGTTTCCTTCTTGAATGCAGTCTCGAGAATCTAAGCAGCAACATTACGACTCAAAATCAAATAAAGTAGCAGCATACAGAAGATGCCAACAACACTGATACTCTACATAAAGTGGAAATCTTATCGCAGTCAATTGAAGAACCAATCTTAATATACTGATATCATTTCTGTGAGAACTAATTCAGACAAATTAAGAAACACTGATTTTGAACTTCTTGCATCACTACAAGTGATATTTTTCATTTGTATGATCACGTTAAACAACAAAAGCCAGGCAAACCAAATATCGTCCAATTATATTCCTGCACATTAGAAACCCTAATTGTCTGCTGACCGAGCTAAATCGATACACTCTAAAAACGAATTCAACACTTTCAAGGCTAAAAAGCACAACAAATGCTACCTCAGACGTGCTGGAGCCGAATTGGAGGAGTCCGGGTTGGCCTTTCGAAGAGGCGGTTTTGTTCTTGAGCTCTTGGATCTTGCGGCGCTCGGCCTCTCTCTGCTTCTCCAGCCGTCGGATTCGGACGGCGTCCTGCGCCGTGCCCACGTAGCCATCGCCCATGCCCGCCATTGTCGATCCTCCTGTGCAACTGCAGCGACCTAGGGTTTTGAATTGTCACTATTTCCGTTGGTCGAAAAATGAGAACTTTTCCCTAATTTGAAGGCAAACATGCTATATGTAAACGGGAGATTCTACAAACCCGTTGCGGAACAATTTCGTCGAGTTTGTAACCGTTAGATCAACTATTCACGACGGTTATATCATGATCAAACGGTTACAAGTTTCGATGGAATGGTTCCATAACGGGACTGTAGCATATCCCATATGTAAATAGTTATTAATTTAGTTGTCTGTAATTGCTAATTTAGTATTGATAGGTTAGTTGTCCTTAGTTGCAAGTTTAGTTCTATATAGTTGCAAGGTTAGTTATGTCTAGTTGCAAGATTAGTTATCTGTAGTTGCAAAGTTAGTTGTCTGTAGTTGCTAGGTTAGTTGTCTGTAGTTGCAAGGTTAGTTGTCTGTAGTTGCAGGGTTAGTTGTATCTAGTTGCAAGGTTAACTGTTTACAGTCGCAAGTTTAGTTGAATGTAGTTGCAAGTTTAGTTATTTGCAGTTTCAATGTTAGTT